CCAGTTCAACACTCGGTAGTGCACACTCCACTTAACCAAATAATTTTAAAAGTAAAATTACAAATTTATCCTTTTTTTTTTCATCTGGGTTCTCCAAAGAACCTAGCCTTTCCTTTTTTCTTCTTTTTTTTTCGTCTGAGTTCTCGAGAGAACCCAGACATGGGTTCTTGTCGGAGAACCCGATCTAGGTTCTCCTAGAGAACCTAGAACCCAGACCCCTTTTTTTTTTTTCTCTCTTCTCGGGAGAACCCAGAGACCATCTCCTTGCATCTCATCATCATCACAACCTCCACCTCTATCACCATCCTCAATCACCACCGAAATAGAAGGAGAGGGGTAGAACCATAGATCCTTTTGTTTTCCATCACCATCCTCACCATCACCACCATCATCATGATCATTGTCATGACCAAGCAACCCCAAATAAATAAATAAAAGGTGAAGCAGATCTGGTTTTGAGGACGAAGAAGAGTTCGGCAGAGGAAGATGGAGAGATAAGAAGAAAAAGGGGTATTAAGAGGAAAATGACTTTTAAGGTTAAATCTATAATCTTATTGTTAAAATTGTTTGGTTATTAAGAATGTGCACCTCTTGGTGTTGAACCGGAGGGTGTACAAAGCAATTTTTTTTAAATTAATATTAATTTTAATATTATTTTTTAGTAGATAAATTTAATTAAATAATTAATAAATTAAAAATTAATTTTTATTTTTTAACATAAATTTATAACTAAAGGTGTCGGAAAACCCAATATTTTTATTTTTTTTATTAATTTTACTTATTATTTTATATATTTTTAAATAACGAGAGACATACAAATCTGCATCTATAAACACAACATTACATTTTCAAACCAAGTCCAAAACTATCGTTTAGAAAAAAAAAAAAAAAAAACCTAAATACTCCCTAAGACAATCTCAATTGAGTTATATGTAATTAAGGGCAATGGAATTAACCAGACATATTAAAACACATGTACAGTATTAATTTTTAAAAAATTCTTCTGTGTTAGGAGTATAAAATTTGTTGCATAATTGTGGGAACTTAAAACTATTGCGTCCTATATAATAGGAGGCAACACCAGACAGAAACGATAATAGCAGCCACCAGATCTAAAAAGGATCTTTGTCCGGGTCTATGGCTGAGCTGGAACCCTAGTAATATGGGATGCATTATCAATTCCGCCACGTAGTTCTAAGCCAATGTCATGCAAGACGTGAAGGGTAGGAGAAATTTTGTAAATTCGCTGCGTCTACTATCAACAACTCAACATGGCGCTTCTCAAAGAAAATGGAAAAAACAACTCAACATGGCATACCAAATCTTTATTAGAGATACTTCTGTCCAATAGAAAATTGCTTTATCAATGATATGTTGGTTTGATAGGAATGATCTCAATTCTTTTTAAATAAAATTTTTTGTTTGAGTCTTCTGAATGAAGAAATAATTGTTAAGAGAGTATCCTCTCTTATGGGATCCAACACAACTCAATATTAGATTAATCGGACTTAATTTAACTTCCAAATATCGAGAGTTAATATAAAAAAATAAAAAATTGCTTTGATACATCTCAAAATATCTATATTTCATTTTCACGTATCATGTTAAAGTGTCAAATTATTGCAAAGGTGTTATATTAAAGTGTAAAATTTTTATCAAAATATCATGTTAGGTATATCTAAAAGACATTTCAAAACGAGATATAAAGTTGATTTTTATGAAGAATATCACATTATAGTATCCAGTAACACAGCAATATTCATTATGTGAGAGACTTGGATGAGCTTTTAAGACAACCCATCTGGCCCTGTATCCATACTCATGTGCATTCATTAATCAATGTGGGTGAATTAAAAAGCAACGCAAACACCCAAAGAAAAGGCATGAGTCCTGTGGCATACAAGAAGAGTCATTTTCTTTATCCTCATCCTCAATAAATATGTGCCAACAGTATTACTAATTCCCCTATACCCTATTCCTTAAATGACCATCTCCCCATGCCATGGCCACTTTTTTTTTTTTTACACTGATGGGTCTAGTTTTTAGTTCAATATATTGTATAATATAATCATTAAAAATTATTATTTTTTTGATATAAAGTTAAAAATAGACAAATTTTAAAATATAATCATACATATAATATGCAAAAATTGATAGAATTAATTGTATTTATATTATATTTTAATAATTGAATCAAGTAAGTATCGAATAATGAATCAAACTTAAAAGTATATATATATTTTTTATAAAAAGAGATTGGTATATATGCTTTTTTAATTTAACACATTTCATGATATATTTATTAAAAAATTATTATTTTTAAATTTATCAAGATAAAAAAATTTCGCTTATAAAATTTAATAACTAAATTAGTAAAAATTAATAATTATGTTAAATTAAAGAATATATTAGCTATTATATATTCATATATATACACCCCTAGCCGACTTAATCAATTCGCGTATCCATCTAATTATAGTTTTTTCTCAGAGTTGCTGAAGTACTATAGACCATGAGTTAATTGATCATGTCCATGTAATTATGATTTCTAGGGGTAACTGATTGACAAAATTAAATTCTAAGCTTATAGTATTTAATTTCAATGCATGGCTATTGTAAAAAAAAAAAAAAGTGTTTATTATTCTCTCTCTCTAAGATTAATTATTCTACCTTTCTTTACACTTTATTGCATGCAACTTTATTCTATTATTTTTTTAATAAATGATTTTATTATATTATTTTTATAATAAATAAATGGTAAATAGAGTTTTTTTTTTTTCTCATGTGTATGTATTTTGAATGGAGTGAGTGTTCTTTAACTTGTTCCTTGATGTATATATAATAATCATAATAATAATAAAAACTTGTAAAAGAGTGCTTTATATATATATATATATCAAATAATGAATTATACAATAAAAAATAATCTTTCACTTCCTTAAATTCTTTCATACCATGTTTTAAAGTCAAATTTGATATCTCTAATTTAAAATTTTACCTTCTTAACCATTTAAGACTCCCCCTAAATGCAATTCAATAAAGAGTGTTGGAAAACTCTATTTATGTTTGAGCAACATGCTATAAGGTATTTATGTGATTGGTAATTAGTGATAAAAGCCCAAGTTACACATTTAAAATTTAAAACTATATTCACATAAATTATGTCATTTGATATTGTGATGATTCGGATATGAAGCGTTACAAGCACTACCCAAACTCATAAATCATTTAAGAGTAAAGAATAATGATAAGAAAGACGAAAAAACGAGACGATTTGACGGAACGACTGTGAAATGGTATGTCACCTTAGCAAAATTACTTGATTTAAATTTTTAAAAAATTTATATATTAATGACATGGCTTGCCATGTCATTCGTCCCATGATTTCATTCTCTTTATTCGTCCATTGTGTCATTGCCCAAGAGTAAATGGGTATATCATAACTTGAAGTCAATCCTACCATTCATTATTAGGATCTATAAATCCCAAAAAAAAAAGGGGACTAATGATGGGTACCAATAATTTATCATACACTCAATTATTCAATCCTAAATTGTAAATGACGTGGTTTATACCATATCATTGGTTTTAGATTTTGGTGTTAAATTTTGATTTTATTTATCATTACTCTTAGTTAAAATCATCTAGATGTTAATAGTGTTAAAATAAAAATAATAATTTTTATGTAAATTAATTACAAAAAGTTATATTTATTACACTTTGACAAACCCATTACTTTATTTTTCAAAATAACTGTTATTTTTTTTAAATTAAGAATTTAAGGATAGTATTTATATTTATCTATAATATTCTTAAAAAATAAATAAAAGATAAAGATAGATTTTTTTGTAATTAGATGACTAATTAAAGTGAATAGATAATTATAAAGTTAAATTTGAAAAAAAAATATTTATTAACCTTAAAAAATTAAAAAAAATAATAATTTAGAATGAACTTAGAGTTAAAATATACTCCTTTTATTTATTTTTAATAGGTCTAATTTTATTTTTAAACTTTTTTGACATGAATTTCATATTAAAATTTAACATATTCTATAAATAATAATTAAAAAATTTTAAATCAAATAAAAATACTCAACAAAAATTTTATATAAAAATAAAACTTTTTAATTGTTATTCATATAATTATTAAATTTTTATTTAAAATTTATATTTAAAAAATCAAAATAAATCTATTAAAAATAAATAAAGAGAGTAACAATTATTTTAAAATAAAAAATAGTAATTATCACTTTATCAGTTGTAATTATATAGTTAATTCAAATTCCTTCGACCGAATTACCATCACCCTTAAAGAGAATAGGTTGTTATTGTTATTAGTTTTTTTTTTTTTTTAAGAAAAAAAAAAAAGAAAAATGGCCAAAAAGAATGTTGGAAAAGGAAGTGAAATCAAGTGGTGGTAATAGAATAGTAATGTTAAAAGAGTCGAGTGTTCAACGTGCAATAATTAGTATTTACTAAGACACGGGAATTGCAGAAAACCAATGAAACATGATGAAGGTCGTCAACTGAAAAGGAAAGTTTTGGATTAATGACTCTGTTTATATCTTCCACATCCCCAAGTACACTGAACCTGCCCCCATTTTTATTATCTCTCTCTTACCCATTAAGATTATATTTGACACAATTTATGGTAAGCATTTTTAGATTTTAAAAACTTTAATTACATTAAATATTATAATTTTTTATAAATTAATATTTTATTAAT